TCCTCCCGGCCCCACGCAGACGCCATAGGCCCAGTTCTCACCAATGAAGTCTCCCCGCGGCTCGGCGACACCGCCTCCGCCACACTCTGCGGCTCGGCGTTCCTCGTTTTCTTAATGAAAACAGGAAACCGGCATCGCTTGAAAATGTGTGTTCTTCACTCCCACTCCGGCTCAGCCGGGAGTACAAATAAAGCCAGCAAGGGAAGCATCTCCACAGACGGGCTCTGTCTTCCCCGCGGGAGCCCCCTTTCCATGAAAGAAGCTGTGTTCTGGGCTGCAGACAAACCTAGCAGTCGCAGCCCCGTCACCTGAGGACGGGCAGGGCCACAATCGGCCACTGTTCTCCGGCTCCACCGAGCAGCCGGCGGGACCGCCTGGTTCCAGGGCGCCGCGGGACTGAGGCGCGTTCCTACCAGGGAAGGCTGGTAACTTTAATCCTGGCCTCAACTGCGCCCGCCACTGGAGGAAGTTTTGGTTTTTTGTTTGTTTTGCTTTTTAATTAATAAAATTTCTTTTCCAGTTACAAGCAGTTCGTGCTTGTTTAAAAAAAATTTTTTTTAAAGGCGAAGGTGGTGGATAATGCCTGTAATCCCAGCACTCCGAGGGGCTGAAGCCGAGGATTACAAATTTCAGCCTAGTTTGGGCAATTTTGTGGCTTTGTGAGAACCTGTCTCAAAATAAAAAGAGGTCTTGGTGCTAATGCCATGAGTTCAATCCCTGCTACTGGGGGGAAAATAAGTCACGCAGAGACCATATAAAGAAGAAATAAATATATGCTTTGGATATCTCAAGTGTTGCTATTTTGACATAACTCCTAGGCTGTGTGGGGGGGGGTACTGGGGATTGAACCTAGGGGCATTTGCACCGAGCTACATCTCCAGTTTTTGTGGGTTTTTTGTTTTTTTTGTTTTGTTTTTTTGAGACAGGGTCTTGCTAAGTTGCTCAGGCTGGACTCAAACTTTCGATCTTCCTGCTTCAGGCTGCCAGAATGCTGAGATTACAGATAGTGTGTACCATCAGGCCAGCCGGACTGTTCTTTTTTGAAGAACACAACTACCCCCACCCTGCCCCAGCACTTGCAGTAGGAAAGGTAAACTGATTCAAGGTCAGCATTTAGAACAAAACATAGCACACATTTCAGTAAAATTTAACAGGCCCATCTTTGGTTCTTTTCATCTTTAGCAGCAACTACCAAAGGCTTGAGTCATGTCAAATTATCCCCAAGTGAACTTCAGACTTCTATCTCTGGGAATCAGGAGAGGTTAGAATTTAACCATGTTAGGTTTCTAATTATTTCCCGGTCTGGTTTAACCCAGGCTACCTAAAGGATTTCTAATCCATGATTCATTCTCTAGCAACTAAAAAAGTGAGATATGTTCTTAAAGTGTCATTTGTACAAAGAATTGTCCTTGGCACCAATTATTCCACAATTAAATAAAAATATCCACTGTCATTTTTATCGCCTGCTTTCTAGTGTATGTTTTACACGTGTTAATACAAATAGGGCATTTATGGAGCCCAGAGATATTTCCCAACTTTTCCATATGTGTATTTCTTACCTCTCTTAGAACAGAAGCCTCCTGAATCTAACAAATTCAATTTAAAAAATTTCCTTCAGCTGGGCATAGTGGTGTGTGCCTGTAATCCCAGCACTTGTGTGTAGGGGGGCGCTGAGGCAGGAGGATTGTAGATTGCTATGAGTTTGAGACCAGCCTGGGCTACATAGTGAGTTCCAGGTCAGTCTCAACTACATAGTGAGAGACCCTGTCTCAAAAACAAACAAACAAACAATCAAAAATTTCCTTCATTGTTCTGTTCTCCCAGTCACACACCAATTAACAAGATGGTGGGAACAAAGGATATTTAAAAGTATTCACTAAAGTAATAATATATACAGTAGCATAATAAACTCAAAAATATATTAACGATTTGAAGATACTTTTAAATATTAACATTATGGACATTTCTTGCACACTGTTTCAGTTCCTTCCTTTTTCTTTCTTGTGGCATGGGGATAGAACTGAGGACCTTGTACTTGTACTTGCAAGGGAGTCACAGTGCCACTGAGCTAAATACCCAGCCAGTAGTTACTTTTTTGGGGGGGGGGTACCAGGGATCCAACTTGGGACCTTGCCCTTGTGAGGCAGGTGGCAGAAACTGCTGAACTAAATCCCCAGCCCAAGTTACTTTTAAAGTAGGGAGTTATTGGTATTTTTTATTTTGTTCTTTATATTTTATAAAGTTTTACATCACATGGGCATTTATCTTTTAAAACTATTACAAGTCACTGTTAACAAAATGAAAAGAATGTAAGAAATAAACTGAGAAAGTTCAGGCAAGAGGGGCATGAATGTCAGAAGCCAAAGCAAACAGCCACATATTCTTTAGTATGCATTACCCAGCCTTCCACACTAACAGAAGTGCCTACTTTTAAGGTGGATAAATATGAACTGTATATTTCCCCCACCTTCTTTCCTGTTAGCATGGCCACAGGCACAAATGTCAGGTAGTAATTCCCAGGGATCTCCCTTAAAAGTCACAGGAATATATCACTGATATCCTTCCTTCTTTTCTTTATCCTGCTATCTACAAAACAGATGTAATGACTGGACATTAACTGCTACTCTACACCTTAAGTCCACACCTAGGAATGGAGAAACATGTACAACAGGAACATGGGTCTCAAAGGGCTTTGTGGATCAGAAGGACTGTAACAGTCCCGTGGAGTCTGCCTCTACACTAGTCTCACTTACTCTGTGCATTATACAGACACAATGACCAACTGCCATAACTTAGAGGAGGAGGGGTTTATTTTGGGTCCCATTTTAGTCCATAGTTGTCTGGCTCCAAGG